CCAATCTGGGCAAGATGCCGCAGGTGAGTCTGCAGTTGCAGGATTGACCGCGTGCCTCTCTTATCTCGGACAGGACAGATGACATTGCTCCTGACATATGTCTTTCTCCTCCCCCACCAATGCTCAGCATAACTGCAGCTGTCCGTTCCCCTGCCTCGTTTCTCCTTCACTCGGCATGCAGTACCAGTTGTTGTTGTATTCAAGTGGCCTTCGGCCAGTGCCGCCGATCCGGGTCGCTCGGGGTTACCCCCCAGACGCAAACATTACGGGCGCACGCTCAAACACACACACACACACCACACGCCACACGCACACACTATTTTGTCGCTGCCTTTGGCCAGTTCCTGGCCGCGCCATTCCGCACTCGCGCGCGCGCCACCATGATGACTTTCCACAACATTACCATTCTCGTTTCTGCTCACCCCCCCCGGCTGTTTATTTGTCTCTCGCGCGAACACGCCGCGCCTGGCACTCGCGCGCGAGCACCGTGCATGCGCGCACACACGCACGCACGCCCACATGAACACAAACACACGACACACACATGGACACACACCACCACGATACTCACGTACTCACCCATGTACACATGAACATCCGCACACACTCATGCCACATTACTACACACACCGCCCGAACCGCGCCACAGACATGCACACACACCACCACCCACACACACATGCCCACTCAGGAAACGCACGCGCGCGCACGCTCATCGGATACACATACCACGTGCACACCTCACGCACGCACACTACCAAATGCACACACGGCGCACGCACATACAGAGACACACTAGGCGCACGCCAGACACCAGCACGCACAGACACTCGCAGACACGCACCACACACGCACCCTCGCACAGAAGCACACACCTGAACTCGTCTGGCCGTCATCTTTAGAGAGGTTCACGGGGATGCGTGAAGCTTGCGTCTGTCCCCAATGTTTGGGAGGGTCTGTAAGAGCTGCAAATTCCACGCGCGACCCGTTGAACGCACCTACAGAGGGTCCTTCTGTAAAAGCAGCACAGCCGCCACCACTTGGGCGAATCTACAGAGGGTCCTTCTGTAAAAGCACCCAATCCGCCACCCCTTGAGCGCACCTACAGAGGATCCTTCTGTTCAGGCTGCAAAGCCCGCGCGCCACCCCTTGAGCGCATCTACAGAGGGCCCTTCTGTGAAAACACCCCCGGAAACCGCCGGACCCCCGCCCCCCTTCCCGACAAACCACGCGTTCTGAGGCGATTTCTCAGGAAATCCAATGGACGACTGCTCCAATCTGGGCAAGATGCCGCAGGTGAGTCTGCAGTTGCAGGATTGACCGCGTGCCTCTCTTATCTCGGACAGGGCAGATGACATTGCTCCTGACATATGTCTTTCTCCTCCCCCACCAATGCTCAGCATAACTGCAGATGCCCGTTCCCCTGCCTCGTTTCTCCCTCACTCGGCATGCAGTACCAGTTGTTTTTGTGTTTACAGTTTTCTTCTAGGCATTTGGAACCCGGGCTACTGGGTGGCGCTAGAGTCTTTGGTGCTGTGGACTGATTTTGTCCATCGGGGTGCAACCCTCACAGCTGGTTGCGTATTCGTGCTGCCAGAGCGCTTTTCCTGGGCCCGATTTTGATCATCATCTTGGTGCAGCCCTCACAGCTGTCTGGCTCTTCGTGTTGCCAGAATTTCGCTCCCGGGAGTGATCTTGAGTGCCCAGTGTCAATTGCGCAGCGTTTCTTGATGTTCGTGCTGTCAGAGCTCTTCCTCGCGGGAATGATTTGGAGTGTGCGAAGCCATTTGTCCAGCATTTTGTGATCTTCGTGTTGCAAGATCGGGGCTGATTTGGTTGTTGTCGGGAGCCAACCGTTTGACGTTTCGTGTCCTACGTGCTGCCAGAACTCCACTTCAACTCTAGCTCGAGGTCCAGCTTGAGTTCCAGCTTCAGCCCCGGCACCAGCATCCTGCTCCAGGTCCAGGTCAGGTACAGCTCTGGCTGCATTTCTAGCACCAGCTCCAGCCTGGCCCCAGCTCCATTCCAGCTCGAGCCCAACTCAAACCCCAGCTCCAGGTACAGTTCCAGCCCCAGCTGCGTCTCCAGGGACAAATCCAGCTCCAGCTTCAGCCCCAGATCCGCCCAATGAGCGGCTAGCCGGCCTCTTGTGCAGATTATTCATTGACTTACGCCGTACCGCCAACCACTTGTGGCGGCAGCAAGATTGAAAGACGGAGTTCGCGGAACGTGCGCGAACGCTGGGCAATCTTGGGGTTTCGGCCTGTCTTACGTAGCGTGTGGGGGGTTCAAGGGGGGGCCTTGTAGGGGATTGTTTTGAAGATTTTCGTGGTCTTATGTGGACCTCTTTTCCATCACCTGGATAGGCTCGGGGATCGTTGAGACCCAGCTGGGGGTGCGTCCAGCCAGAAGTTCGAGAGTGGACCCAGCTGTGTCGACGAGAAGCTTCCTGAAGGCCCAGAGGGGGCGGAGAGCGCCCAAGAACTAGGTAGGAGTCTCATGCCTCGAGCCTCGATCCACCCCGTGTTCCTTCTATGCGAAGGGGAGGCACCGGCCAGGGAGGTCGATCCTCACCCCGGACCCTCGGGGGCCTCTTGGGGGCCTCTGGGGGCCTCTTGGGCGCCTCTTGGGGCCGTCTTGGTGGATTCTTGGACCGTCTTCAACGCCGTGAAGACCCAAAAGTCGTATATGATAAAAATGTACGGTTTCCCATCGGCATTGGACGATTGTGGCCTCTTGGGTCGCTCTTGGGAATACTCTTGGTAGCCCTGGCAGTGCGGAGTGTTACACATATGTACATATGCATGTATGTATTTCTGTATATTTAGGTATATGTACATGCATGTATGTGTATATATATATGTATAGACAGAGAGAGAGAGAGTGGCCTTCGGCTCATCTCGCCACCCTGCCTTGGTTGTCGGCCTGAGATCCTTGGTGCCTGGGTTGCGGGTTAGAAGTTGCATGCCTCAAGTGGTGCTTGGGGCTTCTTTTGAGCTTCTTGGGGGCCTCTTGGGGCCCCTTGGGGCCCTCTTGGGGCCCTCTTGGGGCCTCTTGGGGTGCCCGTTGGGGGCCTTATGGGCCTTGTTGGGCACCTCTTGGGCCCCCCTGGGGCCGTTTTGGGCCGGAAGGCTCGGATTGTTGGTTCAGGCTCCGCCTCTTGGGCCCCTCTTTGGGCCGTCTTGGGAGCCTGTTGGGCCGTCTTGGCGCCCTCTTGGGCCGTTTCGAGCGCCTCCTGGGAGCCTCTTGGGCCGTTTTGGGGCGGTATTGGGGGACACTGGGGCCGTCTTCAACGCCGTGAAGGCCGAAAAGTCGTGTATGATGACAATGTACGTTTCCCCATAGGAATTCGACGATTTTGGCCTTTTGGGTCCCTCTTGGGAATGCTCTTGGAGGCTTCCTGGGCCGTCTGGGAGGCTTCTGGGGCCATCTTGGGGCCATCTTGGGCGTCCTGGGCCGACCTTTGGGCGTCTCGGGGGCCTCTTGGGCCGTCGTGGGGGCTGCTTGGAACCCTCTGGGGCCTCGTGGGGCCTGATGACACCTTTGCCCCCCCCCCCCCCCCCACCCCAAGGGGTCCGCGGATTCCTGCTCGTCGTCGCCGTCGTCGTCTCCTTCCTCTTCTCGTGGCGCCTGCAATGTTCCATCTGCATCGCGCTGATCCGTATTTTCAGGGCACGTCGGCCCCACCCTGCGGCACCAGCGCGGTGCGTGATGCAGGCCGTATCCGCGTGTGTGTGTGTGTGTGTGTGTGTTTTGTGTGTGTGTGTGTGTGTGTGTGTGTGTATCCGTTCCCGCGTCCTCTCTCGCTGAACTCTCCCCTGCCGTTGTCAGGACCGAGATGGCAAGTCCGTGCTGTACCCTCTGACGCCAGAGGAGTACACCCTGAAGAGTCTGGAGGACCTGGCGGGCCCTCTAACTTTGGAAAGCTCCACACGCTCGTACACATCTTCCTAACTGTCTGTGTGTCTTGTAATTATGGGGTGCGTCCGCCGAGGAGGATCTGCCATGACAATATTTCGTCTGCTCTCGCTCTCTTTCTCTCTTTCTCTTTTCGTGCCTCTGTGTTTTCGTCTCCATCTCTCTCTCTCTCTCTGTTCTCTCTCTCTCTCTCCTTCTTTAGTGATTCATTTCTTGATGTATTAATATTTATCTCTGTCTCTCTCTTTCTTTCTCTTTCTCTCTTTTCCTCTTTATGTAGTAAGTATGTTTATATCCATAAATACATATAGATATCTCTCTCTCTCTCGTTATCACCCTCTCTCTTCGTGCCACCGTGTTCCCACCTCATGTTTTGTCTCCCTCTCTCTCCCTCTCTCCTTGCCTCTTTCTCTCTCGCTCTCTTTCTGTTGTTCTCTCTCTCTCTCTTTCTGTCTCTTTTGTCTTCCCTCTCTCTCATTCTATCGCTCTTTTCTATCTTATCTCCTCACTCCTCTCTTGTCCTCTCCCGTCCTTTCCTCTTCTATTTTCCCGTGCTGTCCAGCTCCATCTTCCCCTCCTCCCTCCCCATCTAAGCATCACTCTCCTTGCTCCCCCGGCCCCTCCTCCCTCATCCGTCTTCGTTCATCCCACCAATCTTACGCCTACTTCTTGAAATTGCATGCACCAGGAGACCAGCACTGGTAAGGGGCCAGCTCAGCTCGCGCTTCTGCCACTCGCTGTCCCCCGATGAAATCTGAAATTCGGTGACGGATAGAAACTTCAACGTGCTGGTTTTACCCGTATTTCGTTTCTGCACGTATTGCACATGGTGGGACACAGGTAGGTGCTTCCATATCCTCCCAGGCTCATCCCATTCTCGGGGAGCCGTCTCGTCCTCGTGCTCGTGCTTTCGCAGCGTGTGCCTACACATCAGGGTTTCAATCTCGGCTCAAACGAGAGCGCCAATCGTCATAGTCAGGATACCCGTTGGGGCTTCACCCTCTGCCGCCGGCCCCTTCTCTCGTAGAATGGGGTATGCCAGAGCTATGTTGTGAGGCCTGAGCGCCGTCGTGAAGCAGCGT